TCTTGACTCTCTCCAGCAATAAAATTCTTTGTGTCGATTTTAATGCCCATAGTCAACTCTGGAAATATAAAAACACAAATTTTGCTGAAAGATCTTTTGAATTCTGCTAAACTGGAGTTTTTGTATAATGATTCAGACGTCCCAACCTATCTGCACTACAACGGTAGTGGAACAAATCCAAAGACTTAAGCTTCTACAGACATTTCCGATGTTGCTGAGAAAGAAGTAATTTACGATCCTGGTTCTGGCCATCGCATGATTGATACTACTTTCAATTTTACCTCTAAGAAATCACTAAGGAATTCCGTTACGCACAGATGGAATTTTACTACAGCTAATTGGAATGCCTTTGCTCTAGATCTTGAATCTATTTTTGGATCTACTTCTAGTTTCTGTGAAACAGGAGAGAGTATTGATAGCGCCTTTTCTAGATTTACTAATATCGTTTTTGGATACTACAAAAAGTGGATATCGAGGGAGAAGCAATTTATCTATAGACCTTTCTGGAATGAAAGTCTCGCCATTCTTAAAGAAAAATCTTTTATGGCTCGTACTGCTTCTGAATAATCCAAGAGACCTGAGGACACTCAATACTGAACAAGGTGTGTTCTATCCTTTGTAAAGAAATTCTTTCCGCTGAGGATGGCAAAAGAGTTTACAACTATGTAAACAAATTACAGAATAAGACGATTCCATCTACCAGACAGCCGTTGAAAATTGGTAGTAGTGTTTTAACTGATGACAGAGGTATTTCCAATGCTTTTAATTCTTTTCATTCTTCTAGACAACGCTTGAGGAGAGACCTCAAGATCCAATAGAACTTTATTAAACAGGAACTTCATCACTTCGCTTCTTCCCTAAATTGTGGACGCGAGATTTTTTATCAAAACTTTAATACGGCAGAACTTGCAGAAACTATTATACGTGTCAGGAGAGGCAAGAGCTCTGCTCCAATAGGTATCGACCCATTTCTTTAATTAGCGTTTTATCCAAAGACATGGAAAGAATGATTACATCTAGTCTGAATTGGTTTCTCGAGTCTAAACTCACTCCGGATTTAGAAAATGGATGTCTACAAGCCAACAAGTTATCTTACTGAGTCAGTCCATAAAGGACGCTCTCAGACATGCTCTGTTTTGAATGTGTTTGTGGACTTTGAGTTTGGTTTTGATAAAGTTTAGAGACTCAAATGTATCCAGAAATTACAAAAACCTGGATGTGTGCAGTAAAATGCTCTTTTGGATCAGGAGTTTTGTTTCACAACGTTTCTGCGCCACTCATTTTGGTGATTCTGTGTCCAACTTTAAACAAAGTGAAATTGGCTTACCACAGGTCACTGTGATCAGCCCTATTTTATTTAATATCCTTACTGATGTCCTACCGAGTATTGTTATTACTAAAACATAGTCTTATCATTAAATATCATTAAAATAAAAATACTTCCTTCACTCATCCCAGATACCGAGCAATCCAGAAAAACTAAAGACAAAACTTGCTCACTTAGCTACGTAGTGTGATGTTGAATCTGTAATAAAAACTCTAAGAAGTTGATTAATCTAATTATATTCTCTCTACACTACAAAATATATAATTTTTTAACAATTGTCGGGAAATTTTTCTGGCCCCGAAAGTTATTACACATCTTAATCAGTTCACGTCACGAGGTCGAAAGGGAAAAACCCTTTTTTTCTTCCTACTTCAATGACAGCCAGCGCCATCTGTGTCTCGTACATCAAAATGAAGAGATTTGTTTTTAATGTTTCAATGAAGTATTCCACAACACTCCCACCATTTTGATTTTCAGAAGCAAAATCAAAAATCAAATAATGGTATCCTTAGTACAGGAACACACTTCTAGAGGGTACAGTTTACGTACAGGACGAATCAATATGCCATTTCTAGTTTTCACTTTTACAACTCTTACACGTCCATCTCTGCTTGTACAAAGTTCTTGGACACGAGCAATTGGCCAGTTCACTCTTTTAATGTTCTCACAACCTATTAGCACGATGTCTCCAACTTTTAATTCACAGTCCTTCTGTCCATGCTTTTGTACTAACTGTCCAAGGTACTCCTTGCGGAAACGGCTACGAAATTGTTCTCGAAGTTCCTGGCAGAAAACGCTGACGAGCCAAGAGTTTATTTCGATCTAAAGCATCCAAATCTGCTGTACCTGAAACCTTAATGTCCTGTAAGAACATAGAAGGCGTTAATGGTAGAAAATCCTCAGAGTCATTTGACACATAAGTAAGTGGTCGACAGTTTATTACGGCTTCCACATCACAGATGACGGTGAGTAACTCTTCGTAATTGACTGCAGCTTGTCCTAAGACTCTCACAATCAAATTCTTGGTTGTGCGGATTAGACGCTCCCACCATCCGCCCCACCAAGCAGCAGTGGGCGGAATGAATTTCCAAGTGATGGGATGCAAAGTTTCCTGAGCAATTACCTTTACCCAGTCAACCTTTTTCAGCAATGCAGATGTACCGACGAAATTTGTGCCGTTGTCTGAGTAAACTATAGATGGCCGACCTCTTCTGGCTATGAACCGACGAAACGCTTGAATGAAGCATTCGGTACTTACGGATGTCACTAGCTCCAAATGTACACATTCGATATCCGACAGCACATGTAAACAGTACTACCCAGGCTTTGTTTTTATTTTTGAGAATCAGAGGGCCACATAAATCTATGCCGGTAACTTCAAATGCGAAAGCATCTCGAACTCTGTCTAATGGATAATTGAATGGGTGCAAGTAGCCTTGGAGGTTTTGCTGACAATCGTTTACAACGGAACGCACTTGTTTCACCACCGATCTAATTCGGCGTCTTGCACCAATGATCCAGAATTCTTCTCTAATTATAACAGTTAATGCTTGTACGCCGGCATGAGAATGCTTTAAATGGTAATCTCTAATTAAACAGTCAACAATATAATGCTTAGAAGGTAATAAAATCGGGGTACCGGAATGCATAAGAATCATCTCGTTCGGTGATTTTCGTTTTTACTCTTCTTAAGCCACTCTGATCTCGTACGGTCAAAAGACCATTGATGGAGTCTCCAGTCTCTGGAAAACTCTCCCCCTGGACAAGTGAAAGAAGTATAATTTTAGATTCCTTTATCTCGGAAGCAGACAGAAAAGGCTCTTTATTTACAATTTTCTTTCGACAATTTTTGATAAATCTCTTTATCCAACCTAAAACTCTTAACATTTTTGAAAATTTAGAAAACTTCTCACACCACTTAACTTTATCCACTTTTGTAGTTATACTAAGATTTACATTTAAATTTATGCCTTTCCTGGGCTCTGAAAAAACTAAAGTTTCATTTGGCTTAACCTCTAATTTTGGCCAGCTATCTCTAGGGTCTTTGAGCCAAACAGGCCCTCTCCACCAATTTAATTCGAAAAAAACTGAAGAGGGGAACAACCACGAGAAGGTAAATCAGCTGGGTTAGAATGACCCTGTACATATGACCACTGATTTGCTTTAGTGAAAGCGCAAATTTCCTTCACGCGATTGCCCACAAAAGTCCCCCACGCATCATTTCTTTGAATCCAAGATATGGCCGTGGTGGAATCGGTCCAAAAATATTTCGGGATGTCATCTAATGTAAGAGCTTCTGTCACATATTTGGAAAGAAGCACGCCCAAAAGACAGGCCATAAGTTCTAGACGGGGAATAGTAAGTTCTTTTAAGGGTGCGACTCTTGACTTAGCCATTGCAAAACTGACTAATGTTTCTTCTTTAGTTTCGCATCTCAAAATATTACCGTGGCATAAGCATGCTGGCTAACATCACAAAATACATGAAGTGTCCAGGAACTTCTATCTCCAAAACCTATACGTTCGCGGTATTCTCAACTTATTCAAAATTTGTAATTTATTATACCACCTCGAAAATTTACTTTTGATACTATCTGGTAATGGAGTATCCCAGTCTGCTTTTATCACCCAAATTTCCTGTAGCAGTAGGCAATTTCTTCCTCAGCAGCGTTAGTTGAATTCTGATGAGCATCTAATATTCCAATCTTAATCAGTTCACGTCACGAGGTCGAAAGGGAAAAACCCTTTTTTTCTTCCTACTTCAATGACAGCCAGCGGCATCTGTGTCTCGTACATCAAAATGAAGAGATTTGTTTTTAATGTTTGAATGAAGTATTTCACAACAAGTATCATGGCTTCTGGTGGACTGACTAACGCTGCCTTTTTTGCGGACGATCTTGCTATTTGGTCCTATGCACCTAAAGGTGATGAATCTAAGCTAAATACTGTCCTGAATAAGTCTCTCGAAAGGCTGGAGACCTGGAGTTTGGAGAATAATATGACTATATAAACTTGAGGAAGACTACTACTCAGTATTTTACTTTAAATAGACAGCCTTTCATTTCTGATCTTGTTTATATAGGTTCTCCCTTGCAGTATAATGATGACTCAATTTATCTAGGTTGCATCTTTGATAACATGTTGAAATGGACTAAGCATGCTGAATACGTCATCTCAAAAGCTAGGAAGAGACTTCTCCATTCTTAACAGACTAGCTGCTGCTATATGGGGATGTGGCATAACTAGCCTTAACACTACTTATAAGACCAGACGGTTTTAAATTATTGCAATGAAGTGCTGGTCTCTGTCTCGGATAGTCTTGGGAATGCTTGATGTTTTCCAAACAAAGCTTTACGCTTGATCACTGGCGGTGTTAAAACTACTCCCGTACTTGCTATGCATTTGCTTGTGACCTACACCCAATGACTAACCTGGTTCGGAGGAATGCAGCTATCCTTTATAATAGACTTACTAAACTCCCAAATATTTCTTTTTGGCGTGAACGCGATTTCAACAGAGTACGTAAGCTAAAGACTCAGACGGGCTTCATTCAGTGCGTCCAGGAGAATGCTCAAATATAATGCCATTAACGATAAGGCTCATATAAATCCACTGGAGCTTATGTTTCTCGATGTCAGATTGGACTTGACTTTGAATGTGAGGAAAAACGACCTATGCCAATTGCTCTTCGTGCCATCTCTTTGGAAACCATTATTATTCTCTATCCTCCTGGTGAATGGCTTCATATCTACACTGATAGTTCCCTTTTGGATTTCACCCAGGGCGCTGGTGCTGGCGTCTTCTGTGATCTGACTTCCTTTTACCTACATGTTGGCTCTCATACAACCCATTTTGACGGTGAAGTCGAGGCCATCCATTTAGCCCTTCAACAGCTTTTTTCCCATCTCTCTCCTCTTGATAAGGCTGTAAGTTTATCGGACTCAAGTTCTGCTCTTCAGGCCTTAGAGAGTAACCTAGGAAAACACAGTGCTTGTGTCCACAGCTTCAGGGAGCTGTTGAGCAGAATTCAGACAAAGATTGCTTTCCAGTGGGTGCCATCACATTGTGGCCCTTGGGGAAATAAGATGGTGGACCTTTTGGTAAAGAAAGATACGGATATTCTCCAAAGGTCTTCCACAGAACTCTTCACTCAGCTAAACTTGAAATTAATAGGATTTATAAAAAATCCTTTCGTAATGCTACTGTTAGTGATTCTGAAAATAAATCATGGAGGGTGCTATTGAAAGCTGACTGTGTCTCGGACTCTCCTCGTGCTACTGCTGTGGCTGAGTTTAAGACTATTGACTGGACATGATTGCCATAGTGCTCATTTGTTTCGTTTTAATCTGATTTCCTCCCCTTTATGTGCTTTGTGTGATTCTGGACAAGTCATGGACGATGCTCATCTGGACGTCCGTTCTGCACTTGGTGCACTGGGGTTTGGACTGTATTGTGAAGAAGTATTGGACAACTCGTTGCCTAATGACCTGATGGTCAATGGCCAGGCATTTGATAACTAAATAAATGATGACAATTCTTAATTTTTTTGTGTGAAATTAAATACCTGTATTATGAAATATTTTTAACCTTAACAAAATTTATACTTCTATAAAAATGGTGACAGGATACCAAAACCAAATGTTGCATTTCTTCATTGAAAAATAAAGCATACGTTCAAATTATTCGCAAAGTGAAAATACTGCTATACTGTAATGACTAAATGATAAAAATTCGCAAGTTTCCTCCCCCCCTCTCTTTTTCATTAACTTCATGCTGAATCTTCTGCAAGTATATTTTGTTCTTTCGACAAAAGTCATATTTTATAAAACGTTGTTTAATATAATGGTGATTTACATAAAACGTTTTTTCTAAGAGCTACGCTAAAATATTTTTCAGTTAAGTGAAATTTTCAGTTAATGAACCCTTAAACGAAATGAGACACTCTGCCTTCTTACAAACAAATTAATTTCCATTCAAATATAATTGTTTCATGTTGCTAATTATCCACTGGTGGCTGTATTTGAGTCGCAACATTTCATTTCAGTATTACACTGCTTTCATATTGATATATAGTTCCTAAATTAAAATAATCCAAACGTGGAAGAAAAAATAGAATTCTGTAGGTCAAATGAAAGGTGATAGATAGATACTATTTTAGTTTATTCTATTATGAAATAAAATGACCTTGGTTCCCATAGTAATGCAGCACAAATTATGAGGTATTGATTTCTTTTGTGCTAGATTTCTCATACAGAAAAAGGACACTAAAAATCCTCTTAGAAACACTCAGCCCCAGGACATGTACCTTACAAAATTTGAAAAAAATTTCTCTTATTATTATTTTACTTAGAGATTTTGTGTGTCCTTCTGCTTCAAAATGTATTTCCCATGATGTTAAAACATGTGAAATGAAATGAAGCAAATGTGTCTCCCTTTATTCGCATTCTGTGTTTATGAGTAGAAAATATTTAGAGATTAACTCTTAATCTAGAAACGTTAAATTTCTGTGACACACACGTGCTCATAAGAAGAATGTAAATTTTGTACATCTTTTGGTTTTAAAACAACCGCGTAAAATTATAATAAAAAAATCTAGATTACATTTCAAAATATTATCATCTCTTTTATTTACTAGCTTTTTACAAGAAATAATTCAGTTTTTGAGTTCCTTCCAAGTTTTGATGAAAATCACACTTTGTCTTTGAACTATCTCTTTCCTTAATAAATTTCATTATAACAGTGACCGACTCCAAAACTTAAAAACGTACACTGGGTGAATTAGCAAATTAGGTACGGTAAGATAATTAAACAAAGTAATAATAAAGTGTAGTATACACTACTCTGTTTCATAATCCTTACAACTAAATAAAGTAGTGCCTTCCTATACATATGAAAGTAAGGGATTTTGACACTTTTTTAGCCTAATCCGCAAAAATGAGTGAAAATGTTGAATGCAGTTCCTTATACTATTTAAAGAAAGGCGGAAACAAAAATCATTCTTTTTCAAACAAAGCTATGAAAGAAGATCTTATGATTAGGGGAAGGTGGTATGAAACGTTGCACAAAATTCAAAACTAATCACAGGTCCGAAAGTAAGCGAATAAAAAGATAGTTTGCAATGCTATTGGCGTTTAACTTAGAGACTTACTGAGACTATAAACGGGTAAACGAAATGAGTTAATCTCACTGAAGCATTTGAAACATCTACTATGTTAATTTGTGCTGATAGTAAAACTAAGCATCTGGCTTTAAAGATAAAAGATCGTAACATACTGATCAGAGATCATAACACTAGCTGTCACTATTTCCCAATGTAAACGGCCTGAAAAACTAGGACAAAATAACCATTATACGTAAAAACAAACATGTAATTGTAGTTCCTGTCCTTTTTGCATTGTTTCAGCACCTCAAAATGAAAAATAGGGAAATACAATATTGTACTCCTTTACACCTTTCCGTTCTAACTTCCCTGCCACCTTTACACGGAAAATTATATGTGCGTACCTGTACAGAACCAGTAATAAAGAAAATTTGCTTTTGAAAAAATATAGTAATATTTTCACGAGCACCTCTTGAATTTCCCATTCTAGCTGCGGCGATGATCGCTGCTAATGACGGCAATGACTAGACTATATATGATGATAGCACAATGTCTGCGATAAGTCAATGAAACAAAGTCATGCTATAGGCATTGTTACGATATATTTGGCTGTCAATCCAAGGAAAGGAAAGACGGGAAAAAAAAAGGTGAATAGATGAAAAAGTGATAATAGGATGACGTCAAGCGTAGATGATGACTAATATTTTTATTTCCTCACTCTTGTGGAAGAACATCATGAGAGAGAATTATAGCATCTGTCTTTCCAATCCGTTAATTACTCTTGGAGAGTTTATATGGCTTCCCCCTCGTTCCATCATAGAATTATCCTCCATTACTTTTCCTTTAGGATTTGTGCTATTCAGGTTCAGATGGAAATGTAGTGGGACACCCAATGTTTACTATAAGTAATGTAGGTAGAGTCCCACTACACTTCGGTTTATTTTTAAAGTTAATATTCAAAATAGTACATAGTATAATATAACATAACAGTATAAATAGTATATCGACATTTTGATTGATATCATATCTATTAGATATAATTCTAGTAGTTATAATAATAGTAGGCTAACAGTCATAATTTATAACAGTTCATAATAGTTCCTTGAGATAAAGTTTATTATATGAATCTATATCTTCTTCCTCTTTATTTCCCCTTTTTTTTTACTATATCATTATTATTGCAAGGATTTATTTTTAAGATAATTAGATAATAAAAGTTTAAGATGAATTGCAGCTTCAAAAATGAATTTTGACATTAATTACGTTAGTGCTCACATAAAGTTTTGCCTATTGAAGATAGATATTTGATTGTATTTTCTATTTTATTTTTTAAATGTTTGTTGGTAATTGCAAAACGAAGGAAGGCACTGATATTTGAATTAGGCAGTTTAATATGAGTTGACTTTGTTAAAGGACATTGAGTAATATAATGGATTGGATCACCTTTATTTCCACATACACATTGCTCAGAGTTTGAGATGTTTATTCTGAAGAAGTATGTGGGAAATGGCCCATGTCCAGTTAAAAAGTGGTTTATATAACCATTGACCATTGTACATGTATCATTCACATGAGGTCCTATTTGATGTAATTCTTCTTCCCACATTTGGAAGTTGATTTTATGTAGATATTTCTTGAGGTATGATTTCGACCAGGAGATTTTTCTTGAAGGGATATTATTGTTGGTAGTAGCTGATTTGGCTGCTGAATCGGCTTCTTCGTTAACAAGAACTCCGACGTGAGCCTTTATCCAATAAATGTTTGCTGATATTGGATAATTTTGTTAAAAATATCTTGAATTATTTCAGATGTGTGCTTGGGATTTTGTAAAGCTAGTATTGCTGATTGACTATCTGAGAAATATTGATATTTTGTAAATTGTTATCGATTGAGTATTCTATTGCCATTCGAATTGCGTGTAAGATCTGCTTGGAAGATACTATTTTCCTTGGAAAGTCGGTTTTGGAGAATTATTTTCTGGGTTTGATCTATTTGTACGTATTATATATGCATAGCCAACTCCTAAGTCCATTTTCGATCCATCTGTATATATTATTGGTGGAGATATATGACTGGTTGGAGGTTTTATTGTGCTATATATTTTAGGATTAAAGGCAGGATGTCTTCTGTAGGGGTTGACTGAAATTTCAAAATTGTTTGGATTAAATATTTCATCATGTAATATACAGGATTTTTTTAAATTTGAGAACTGTAGCTTTTGCATGTACAGTTTGTGCTAAAGTATGAAGAGGTGCTATTCCTGAAAGTACACATAGGGCAGCATTCATGTTCTTTTATAAAATTTTGTGATCCGGAAAAGGAATTGACGTTGTATGGCTTGCAGTTGTTTTTGTTTTGGAATAGTCATAGGCTGCGCCCAAATTTCTGCACCATATAAGACTATTTTTGTTATTACTGTATTGAACAATATTTTTTGAATATGAGGATTTAGTCCTTGGACATAACGTAAGTTGTTTGCTATTTATGTGTTTTAATTCTCATATATTTGAGATGTTTAATCCAGTTGAGGTTTTTGTAAATGATTATGCCTAGAAATTTAAGTTTTTGAACTATTTTTATTCTATTATTTTCTACTGAAAATTTTGGTAGTCGAGTAATTTTTTGAGACTTTTTATGGAAAATTATAGCTTTTGATTTTTCTTCACTTACTGTCAGTTTCAATTTGTAGCATTCAGTTTTAAAAAGATGAAGAGTTTCATTTACATTATTTTCCAGAATATTTCGTTCTACAACTGATCACAAAAGCTGCGCCGTCAGCAAAAGCAACACTTTGTGTATGGTTTGGCCATTTGAAAGATGTTATTGAGTTAAAAGTAAGGTTCCAAAGGTCAGCACTAAGGCAGGAACCTTCTGGACAACCTCTTTGAGCATATTCTATTATCTCATTGTTGTATATTATAAAACTTTTTCTTTCACATAGATAATCTTGAAGTAAATTAAATATATTTTTTGGACAAATTGCTTTTCTTAATGCTTCAAGTACAGATGGCCACCATAATGAGTCAAAAGCTTTGGTTAGATCCAGGCAAATAAAAGCAGAATGCAGATTATTGGAGTTATTGATATGAATTTGGTTTAAAACTGTATCTATGGCATTCGTTGTCGATTTATTCGGGATGAATC